GGGGAAATCGACAGTAACACAATCATAGTAAGAGACTTTAACACCCCACTTTCACCAATGGACAGATCATCCGAAATGAAAATAAATAAGGAAACATGAGCTTTAAATGACACATTAAACAAAATGGACTTAAATGATATTTATAGGACATTCCATCCAAAAACAATAGAATACACTTTCTTCTCAAGCGCTCATGGAACATTCTCCAGGATAGATCATATCTTGGGTCACAAATCAAGCCTTGGTAAATTTAAGAAAATTGAAATCATATCAAGGATCTTTTCCGACCACAACGCTATAGACTAGATATCAATTACAGGAAAAAAACTGTAAAAAATACAAACACATGGAGGCTAAACAATACACTACTAAATAACCAAGAAATCACTGAAGAAATCAAAGAGGAAATCAAAAAAATACCTAGAAACAAATAACAATGAAAACATGACGACCCAAAACCTATGTGATGCAACAAAAGCAGTTCTAAGAGGAAAGTTTATAGCAATACAATCCTACCTCAAGAAACAAGAAAAATCTCAAATAAACAACCTAACCTTACACCTAAAGCAATTAGAGAAAGAAGAACAAAAGAACCACAAAGTTAGCAAAAGGAAAGAAATCATAAAGATCAGATCAGAAATAAATGAAAAAAAAATGAAGGAAACAATAGCAAAGATCAATAAAACTAAAAGCTGGTTCTTTGAGAAGATAAACAAAATTGATAAACCATTAGCCAAACTCATCAAGGAAAAGAGGGAGTGTACTCAAATCAATAAAATTAGAAGTGAAAAAGGAGAAGTTACAACAGACACTGCAGAAACACAAAGCATCCTAAGAGACTACTACAAGCAACTCTATACCAGTAAAATGGACAACCTGGAGGAAATGGACAAATACTTAGAAAAGCACAACCTTCGGATACTGAATCAGGAAGAAATAGAAAATATAAACAGACCAATCACAGGCACTGAAATTAAAAATCTTCCAACAAACAAAAGCCCAGGACCAGACAGCTTCCCAGGCAAATTCTTTCAAACATTTAGAGAAGAGCTAACACCTATCCTTCTCTAACTCTTCCAAAATATAGTACAGGGAGGAGCACTCCCAAACTCATTCTACAAGGCCACCATCACCCTGATACCATAACCAGACAAAAGATGCCACAAAAAAAGAAAACTATAGGCCAATATCACTGAGGAGCAGAGATGCAAAAATCCTCAAAAAAATACTAGCAAACAGAATCCAACAGCACATTAAAAGGATCATACATGATGATCAACTGGGGTTTATCTCAGGAATGCAAGGATTCTTCAATATAAACAAATCAATCAATGTGATAAACCATATTAACAAAGTGAAGGAGAAATACCATATGATCATCTCAATAGATGCAGATAAAGCTTTTGACAAAATTCAACACCCATATATGATAAAAACCCTCCAGAAAGTAGGCCTAGAGGGAACTTACCTCAACATAATAAAGACCATATATGACAAACCCACAGCCAGCATCATTCTCAATGGTGAAAAACTGAAACCATTCCACTTAGATCAGGAACAAGACAAGATTGCCCACTCTCACCACTATTATTCAACATAGTTTTGGAATTTTTAGCCACAGCAATCAGAGAAGAAAAAGAAATAAAAGGAATCCAAATCTGAAAAGAAGAAGTAAAGCTGTCACTGTTTGCAGATGACATAATACTATACATAGAGAATCCTAAAGATGCTACCAGAAAACTACTAAAGCTAATCAATGCATTTGGTAAAGTAGCAGGATACAAAATTAATGCACAGAAATCTCTGGCATTCCTATACACTAAGGATGAAAAATCTGAAAGAGAAATTAAGGAAACACTCCCATTTACCATTGCAACATTAAGAATAAAATACCTAGGGATAAACCTACCTAAGGAGACAAAAGACCTGTATGCAGAAAACTATAAGACACTGATGAAAGCAATTCAAGATGATACAGATGGAGAGATGTACCATGTTCTTGGATTGGAAGAATCAACACTGTGAAAATGACTAAAGCAATCTACAGATTCAATGCGATCCCTATCAAACTACCAATGTCACTTTTCACAGAACTAGAACAAAAAATTTCACAATTTGTATGGAAACAAAAAAGACCCCAAATAGTGAAAGCAATCTTGAGAAAGAAAAACGGAGCTGGAGGAATCAGGTTCCCTGACTTCAGACTATACTACAAAGCTACAGTAATCGAGAAGTATGGTACTGGAACAAAAACAGAAATATAGATCAATGGAACAGGATAGAAAGCCTAGAGATAAACCCACGCACATATGGTCACCTTGTCTTTTTTTTTTTTTTTTTTTTTTTTTTTGCGGTACGTGGGCCTCTCACTGTTGTGGCCTCTCCCGTTGCGGAGCACAGGCTCCGGACGCACAGGCTCAGCAGCCATGGCTCACCAGCCTAGCCACTCCGCAGCATGTGGGCTCCTCCTGGACCAGGGCATGAACCCGTGTCCCCTGCATCAGCAGGCGGACTCTCAACCACTGCGCCACCAGGGAAGCTCGGTCACCTTAGCTTTGATAAAGGAGGCAAGAATATACAATGGAGAAAAGACAGCCTCTTCAATAAGTGGTGCTGGGAAAACTGGACAGCTACATGTAAAAGAATGAAATTAGAACTCTCCCTAACACCATACACAAAAATAAACTCAAAATGGATTAAAGACCTAAATGTAAGACTGGACACTATAAAACTCATAGAGGGAAACATAGGAAGAACACTCTTTGACATAAATCACAGCAAGATCTTTTTTGACCCACCTCCTAGAGAAATGGAAATAAAAACAAAAATAAACAAATGGGACCTAATGAAACTTAAAATCTTTTGCACAGCAAAGGAAAACATAAACAAGAGAAAAAGACAACCTTCAGAATGGGAGAAAATATTTGCAAATGAAGCAACTGACAAAGGATTAATGTCCAAAATATAAAAGCAGCTCAATATCAAAAAACAGACCACTCAATCCAAAAATGGGCAGAAGACCTAAACAGACATTTCTCCGAAAAAGATATACAGATTGCCAACAAACACATGAAAGGATGCTCAACATCACTAATCATTAAAGGAATGCAAATCAAAACTACAATGAGGTATCACCTCACACTGGTCAGAATGGCCATCATCAAAAAATCTATAAACAATAAATGCTGGAGAGGGTGTGGAGAAAAGGGAACCCACTTGCATTGTTGGTGGGACTGTAAACTGATACAGCCACTATGGAGAACAGTATGAAGGTTCCTTAAGAAACTAAAAATAGAACTACTAGGCATATACCTTGAGAACCATAATTTAAAAAGAGACACGGGGGCTTCCCTGGTGGCGCAGTGGTTGAGAGTCTGCCTGCTGATGCAGGGGACGCGGGTTTCTGCCCCGGTCCGGGAAGATCCCACATGCCACGGAGTGGCTGGGCCCGTGAGCCATGGCCGCTGAGCCTGCAGGTCCGGAGCCTGTGCTCCACAATGGGAGAGGCCACAACAGTGAGAGGCCCGCGTACTGCAAAAAATAATAATAATAAAAAATAATAATAATAAAAAAGAGACATGTACCACAATTTTCATTTCACCTCTATTTACAGTAACCAGGACATGGATGCAACCTAAGTGTCCATCGACAGATGAATGGATAAAGAAGACATGGCACATATATACAATGGAATATTACTCAGCCATAAAAAGAAACGAAATTGAGAGAAGAACAAATACCGTATGCTAACACATATGTGTGGAATTTAAAAAAAAGAAAATGGTTCTGACGAACCTAGGGGCAGGGCAGGAATAAATACGCAGACATAGAGAATGGACTTGAGGACATGGTGAGGGGGAAGTGTAAGCTGGGAAGAAGTGAAAGAGTAGCACTGACATATATACACTACCAAGTGTAAAATAGCTAGCTAGTGGGAAGCAGCTGCACAGCACAGGGAGATCAGCTCGGTGCTTTGTGCCCACCTAGAGGGGTGGGATAGGGAGGGTGGGAGGGAGACGCAAGAAGGAGGAGATATGGGGATATATGTATACCGTATAGCTGATTTATTTTGTTATACAGCAGAAACTAAACAACAATATAAAGCAATTATACTACAATTAAGATGTTAAAAAAATCAGTTCCATGACTTTATAGACAGACATATTTATTAAAAAAAAACAAACAAAAAAAAAAGATTCTCCAGGTCACTGCATGCAAATGTTTGAGAAGAGCCAGTCACCTCCCCAAACAGGGCGACGTAGCTGCTTAAGTGTGACCTCTGTGTCCCAGAGCTTGGCCTAGGATTTGCGGGGCCCCAGAGGATATTAGGTCCCAGAGCACTAACTCCTCACGCTGTCAAATGCATGAGACACTGCATCTAGATCTGAGCGCCAGCTCAGTCATTCAGGATGCGGGAGAGACTTGCCAAACAAGCTGATATTCAGTGATAAGCACACTCTTTCCGCATGGGAGTCTGCACTGGAAGAAGTCACATTACGGTCAATAGTCTAGGGAGTTCAGTGCAACGTGGGCCAGTTTAAAGAGTCTAATGGCTCAAGTCCCAGTAGCTTTGGGCATTGTTTCCTGCCTTCTCCCTACTCCCCAGGGAGTGAGATGTACCAGAAGCTTCATAGTTGGGAGTCAGGGCCCAGTTTGTCAGGATGGAGCTGAGGATGGACAGAGGGGTCCTTGCTCCCTTTTCCTACTTAACATGTCATCCCTGCCACCTTAATTAGCACATTTATTCCTAAGTATGTTGGTACCATTGATTAGCATACAATTTTCTTTAACATCAGAATGTTTCTAGCCCTACATTTTATCGTTTTTTACTTAGCATACTCTTCAGTTCATACCATTCATTACATGTTAGTTTTAGTAATTCAGTCCTCAGAAAGTGACTGTATTCCAAAACTTCGGGAGGGATTCTTCATTGCCCGTCCATCTACTGTCTACCGAAGTGTATGCATTTGACCTGTGGCTGAAATTCTTTTGTGTGACAGTTTTTCTTTAGATTACTTGCTGACTGTGAGAAGGATCCACCTCAGCTTGACTACACACAGATGCTGCTTTATTTTGCTTGCCATCCAGACAGTGTGGAAGGGGTCTACAGGGCCCTCAGTGTGGCCACTGGGAGTCACGTCTTCCAGCCAATTGAAATGCCTTCTCTTGGTGCAGAAAAGGTAATTGTGGTCCAGGAATGGACTAGCGTTGGGGTCTGGAGGGGATTCCAAAAGATCCTAAACTTCTAACAACAAAGACTGTTTTATATCAATCTCTGTATTTTCCCAGGTTCCTCACACGATGCTTTACTAGGTCTTCGATAAAGCCTTACTCAATTGGATTAAGAACTAGGGACCCACTATCTAAAAAATGTTTTGGTAGTTAAATCCAAATTTGCTCAAAGTTTCTTTGGTGAAACCGAAGTTTGCTCTGTAAAGGGCAGCCTTTACTTTGTGTGAAGTGCTGATCCTGAGAAATGAAAGAACTGGGTATCAACCCAGACTATTTGTCACACTCTGTGGACATTCTATGTAAAACAAGTTCAGGCCTCAGACACATCCCACATGTCTATGACACTTGATAGTATTTCAGGCCCAAACCTGGCCACGTGAATTCCACAGGCACTTTGTGTCACCTGCATCCAGCGACAGAAAAGCTTAATGTCCAATAAAACCTCACATCCCCCTGTCAATTTCTAAAGGGTTGACATTCCCTGTTTTGGGGGAGGTAGAAAAGCCTCAGAACAGGGAAATGACTAATACACTTATTAGGTGTCCATTGGCATGACTTTTTAGTCTTCACCTGGCCTTTTGGGACAGAGCAGTGGCCCTCATGATGGAATGCTTTTTTCTGCTCTTCTTTGTGGACCCAGAGGGGAGAGGGATGCTGCACAGTTCAGACCCCTCGGATGTCCTAGCTGCAGTTCTCTTCCTTCCATACATGTTTGTCAAAACAGAGTTTGCTGGGTTGTCTGAGAAAAAAAATGGGAAGTTCCTATGACAGCTTTCACATCTCAGAAGACATAGGCTCTTTTACAGGCAGCCCTATATTTCAGCCCTGAGCAGGTGACACGGAGGATGTCCTACCCCTTCCATCAGGGGCAGGGCGAGGCCAGAGTGCTGCCTAGGAAGCTGACAACTCAGGGCTCTTCACTTCGATGTACTTTAGACCCAGCATTAACACTGACACAGTGACAGAAAGTTCAGGAAGGAGTTATTGTTATTTCCACTCAAGAATGCTGTCTTCTCAGAACATAGGAAGACCACTTACATTTTCCCAAATAAATGACGAGTTAGATGTGGTCTGCCTGCATCTCTCTACAGACTGGGTCTCCTCAATCCAACACTGGCATGGATCGTAACCTGCCTGGAGGTCTCAATTAACCTGTCCTCAGGGAGACCTTCCCTGACCCGGAATGCTGGCAGGCATCCCTGCCCTGTGTTCCCATAGGATGCTGGGCTTCCCCCCTTCACCATAATCCTCATAGATAACTACTTCTGCAGGGTCAGCTTCCTTTCTGGACTCTGGGCACCCTGTGGCCGGGGATGGGCCATCTGTCTTGCTCTGCATCCCCTAACCTGCCTTCGTGAATCTGAATTACTGCTACAGAGCTCAGTAAACATTTCACTGAGTGGAGCGATCAATTACTTCATGAATTAGCTTTGTAAATCCTACCCTCTGTGTAGCCCTGTGATCTGCAAAGGATATAGAAAAAGCCAAATTTGCTCCAGTAAAGGGATTCCATCTAATTGCCCTTATCCATACAGGAAAGAATGGGAGAATGATGGCCCACACATGGAGGGAACACAGAATAAAGGACAGATCAACATGGGGCTTTACAGATCAAAAGAGGGGTCTAAACCTTCTTCTTTGCCACCTCTGTACCCTTGCTCTTGCTAGCCCCTCCACCTGGAGTACGCGTCAGCTCATCTGGAAAGGTTCGAGGGCTCCCCAGTACCCAAGGCCTATTTCAACCGCCAGATCATTCATGAAGCTTCCCCCGACACACGGAGCACTCCCGCAGCTGGGCCCCATTTACATCCAGATCCTCTCTGGCAAGGCTGAGCACCATCACACGCACCTGTGCATTTACTCAGCAAACATTCATCCAGCACCTCTGGGGATAAAGCAAGTAAAATAAAGACTACAGCAAATGGTGATAGACACTATGAGGAATAAAGAATAGAGGGAAAAATATAGGAGTCTGGATTGGAGTTGCAGTGTTAAATAGAATGGTCACAGAAGGTCTCTCTGTGAAAAGACATGGAAGCAGAGGCCCAGAGTGGTGAGGGAGAGGGCCTTGCAGATAGACCTCTGGATGAAGTGCATTTTAAGTGAAGACAGCAGTTAAGTGCAAAATCTCACAAGTGGGGTCATGCCCGGTGGACCCTAAGGAACCGCAAGTCAGCCAGTATAGCTGGAGGGGAGAGTAGCAGGCAAGGATAGTGACGGGGAGAGGGCTCTGAGGGGCCCTGGAGGGGCGTTGGCTTTGACTGTGTCAAGAGACGAGATGAGAAGTCACTGGAGCAGGGCCGTTTGATTTAAAATGTGCCCCCATACAGGACAGACTGTAGGGGGCAAAGGAGGGAAGTAAGGAGAACTAGTAATTCAGGCAGGGGGTGGTTTATCTATTGAATCCTACTGCTCTTATTCCCACCTTGAGTTGGGGATGACTTGTTACCCATCTTTATGTCCTCCAAAGTAGCAAGTGCTCAGTAGTGCACACAACAAGTACTCGATTAGTGTTTGTGAACATGGCAGGGAAAGAAGAGAAGAAAGAGACGAAGAGAGAAAGAAGGGAGGGACTCCCATCTCCAAGGTAGAGAGGAGCAGAGCAGACGTTCCAGAGGCAGAGGCAACAGCAGGTTCCGGAGGCCCGACCCAGCCAGAAAGACCAGGAAAAGGAAGTATGTGCTACAATGGTTGCCATAGCAACAGACAGCTCTCTGGGTGGGTAGCAGCCAAGCCAGCTAGCACAGGAAGGCACTGCATCCCTTCTGTCCCTGACCCGGTGGGTCATTCACCGGGAGCTAGTGCCCATCCAGGAAGCAGCTCCCCTGGAGTACTCCTCTTAAGAGCTCTTTCAAAGCCCAAGGACACTGCACAGGAACTGCCCCATGACCACTGCACAACAGAGATGAAACCAGGGTGGGGCAGGGATCGGGCGCAGGTCTGTCACACACCACACACACAGGACTACTCCTGGCTGGGAGTGAACCATAGGAGCTTTTGAAATACAGGATCCACCCACCTTCCTCATTCTTGCCTACTCCCATAGCCCTCACCATCCTGCCTCCAATTATGCCGCCTCCGTTCTGTGCCCTTTCCAACTGTATTCTAGTTCCCCGGGCAACTTTATCCCAGGAAGGCAAAATGAGCCTGCTCAGAAATAACACCTCCAATAGATCTATATTCCCTCCCACGACATTTAATGGGATCTCGGATTTTGCTTCCCAAAAAACAACTGGAAATCTCCCTGATAATTCATTCTTTCTGAGTCTATATCTGCTACTCACACTGTTTTATTCACCGTGGCACAGACCTCCTGTTAAAACCCACGGCTTTCTGGGTAATTTAAAAGAAGCTCAAGAGCAAAGCACTCAGGAGCAGGCACTAGTCACCGTGAAGCTTCAAATAAGTTGATATTTGATAGAATGCTTCACCCTAACCTGTGGAGTTTGGGGTTATGATATTGGAATTTAGTAAAATATGAGCTTGAACCCCCCACATTTTGAGAGTCTTGTTAAAGCATCTTGACAGAGATGGTTTGAGGCCTTGGGTTTCGAAAAGCTTAAATGTGCATCCCATTCTGCTCTTTGATGCTTTGCTCACATTAGTCCTAAGGTCTGATCTTCTGTTCTGCCTTCTGAGATGTGGGACTAAGCAGACTGAATGGCAGAAATGCACAGTCAGGCACCACTCCAGGGGCACGTTTGCTGGGAGTCCTCGAGGGCCGTCTCTGAGAGTGTGACGTAGTGTTTGCTAGCACCACAATCTGCCCCGCTGCTTGGAAGATAATGTGACTCACACAGAGTTTTGTTTTTTTTTTTGTTTTTTTGTTTTTGTTTTTGCGGTACACGGGCCTCTCACTGTTGTGGCCTCTCCCATTGCGGAGCACAGGCTCCAGACGCGCAGGCTCAGCGGCCATGGCTCACGGGCCCAGCCTCTCCGCGGCATGTGGAATCTTCCCGGACCGGGGTACGAACCCGTGTCCCCTGCATCGGCAGGCGGACTCTCAACCACTGCGCCACCAGGGAAGCCTTCACACAGAGTTTTGATGTCACTAATTATTGCTCATTCAGAAGCCCTGGCTTTTCTCCAAACCAGCATCCCTGGTTTTGTTCATCTACCCACATTCACAGTCAGCGCCTGTTGGGAGCCCCCTCTTGCGCACACCCTGCAGTCCCGCCAGGATGCTGAACTGGCTCCTTTGGTCCTGATCTTGGCCTCCCTCTTCTCCCGCCCCTCCGGCTGAACCACTAAGTCTATTCTGTTCCAGTCCCCTAGAGAGCAAAAATAGCAAACATTTATAAAGCATCCTCTGATATAACAAGTTAAGGATTCTTCACTCAAATGTTTAAATTGTTATCTTTTGACTAAAATAAAAAAATCTATTTATCCCATGATGATTATAACAAGTCTTTGAGAAGCTGGGCCCTCTGTAGTTATGGAAATAGTGCAGAGAGAGCAGGTTCCCTCTCTGTTCAATTTTGGTATTGCCTGCTTATCCAGCCCAGCTAGTCATGTGCTCACCCACAGGTTCTGTCTGTCTTCTCTGCGTAGCACCTGTGCTGCCCTTTGACTAGAAATTCATTCATCTTTCAGTCATTCAGCAAGATGTTCTACATCTCGACTGTGTTCATTTCAGCACAGCAAATATTCTATAGCCCCGGGGAGATTATTGACGGGTAGCCAGTGTGATGATTCCCAGGCTTCTTAGATGGAGACAAAAAAGCTAGTTTCACATTTCTGCCAAGTAGTATTTCAACTGTTTAAAATGGAGAAGAGGCTGGATGAACAGATAGATAGATAGGTAGATAGATAGATAGATGATAGATAGATAGATAGACAGATAATAGGTAGATGATAGATAGAAAGAAAGATAGATAGATAGATAGATAGATAGATTATAGATAGGTAGATGATAGATATCTGTACTTAATCCCAAAAACTTCATCTGCTAGAGCATTCTCCCCCCACCCTCCAAGATTAGATTAAATTCCCAATTTACCAAAGGATATGGAAACCCAACTAAAGCAAGGTGACCACACAGAGCTAGAGCAAATACAACCTGTCTCTACTGCACTATCCTCAGCCCCTGCAAATCCCTCAGAGGGGCTTACGACAACCAAAGGCTTAATTCTGTTCTGTGTTATAATCCTTTTATACATGGGACTTACGTGGCTCTTTGGAAAGAACTTGCGCGATCTATGCACTTAATGCTTCTACTGAATCGAGCATTTACAGGTATTGGCACCCTGCTCTAATTGTAAGCCTAAATTAGCATTTTTCCTTCATCGGAATAAAGGAGAATGAGCCCTCAGGTGTTCTCTGACATCGGGCCAGTCAACATTCTGAAAATGCCCATTTTTCTATGGCAAATCATTGAATATCTCATCATCAGAAACACACACACACACATTTATAACAGTAAATACAGAAAGTACAAATCTACTGTAAAGAATTTGAAAAATACAAAACAAAGTGAAAAAGAAATCACCTGTCTGCCCAATCAGAGGTAGCTACTTTCAATTCTTTAATGTATCTGTTTCTCTTTTTTTCATTTATAAGTATAGATATATACGAAAATGAGGATCCTGGTATATTTATTATTTGTGTTCTGTTTCCTTTCTGCACTCATCCCATGAGTATTTTCTCATGTCACTCAGTATCCTTCTAAGCCAAAATGTTCACAGCAGCATAGTATTCTGCCACAGACCGACACTATCACTGATGTCACCATTCCCCATTTTTGGAGCCATAGGTTATCTATTTGTGCTGTAAGTAACACGGAATGAACATCCCTATACAAAAGTCTTTGTGTACATGAATATTTCTTTAGAATCAATTCCTAGATCAATAATTATGGCATCAAAGGGTAGGCATATTTTTCAGGCTTTTGGTACGTAAGAAATTACATCAGAAACAATTTACTTTCCCATGCTCAGAATGCAGGTGTCTGAGTTCATGGCTCTTGGCCAAGTGTCAATGAACAGCAATAAGAATCCCAATCTGTCCGTATTCAATTTGTTTTCTATTTTACCTTCTGGACGTTTAGTCGGGTTTAACCTCCAGTATCTAAACAAACATTCCCAAAGCTTCTTAGAATCTGTCAAGCTTGAGAAATTAACTTGCCCACAACCTCTTGACTGCAGGCAATTTCCAAAGCAAATCCTGTTCAGAAATCTAGCTTCATGTGTAAAAGTCTGACAGTGGTTTTACACAAATTCATTCCACTGTCCTTTCACTGAGGAATACGGTGTATCTGGCAACGTAGTGAGCAGAAGCCTGTATGGAGGTAAGACGCCCCTACACTGAGGCCTCTGTCAACTACCAGCAGAACTGCTCTGGGATTTCAACATGATTTCCAGTGCAGCAAGCATATTCTATCTCTAGATTTTGTTTAGCTAGTTTGCAGTAGGCACTATCATCCCAGGGCATAGAAAGTATGGGACCAAACTGGTGTTTTCTAAATATCTCTATTCCTGGAAAGACTTCATGTTCTCTTCATTGAATTGCACAGACCTCCTCCTTTACTGATATGAGTCCCATTGAGGAATGTCCTGAACTTGAGGACAATTTTATAAGTGAAGAAAGGGAATTACAAGAGGAAGGGGAGGAAAAGGAAGAAGAAATCTCTGAAAACGCGAACACGGAAATGATTTCCATGGAAACGCTGCTCAAAGTGTTCCGAGGAGCAAACGAAGCACAGGACGCTAACAGATTTGCCAGCCACCAAAAGACAGAGAACATGTATTCAGAGGTTGGTTAGATTATTTCATAAAAGGGGCAACCTGTACCCAAGAGAAGTTTCCCTCAATTTTGAGCCTATGTTCATAGAATTTCTCCCCAAATGTATCACCATATAGAAATTATGATGATTCCTTTCAAAAACAAACATTTTAACATCATCAGAATTGTAAAGTTAATCAACTTTTTTTTTTTTTTTTTTCCTTTTAAGAACTTCATAAAAGTATTTCAGGACCTAGGTTCCAAGAATCTGGAGCCAATTGAAGTTGCTATTCTTCTGAAGCATCCTTTTATTCAAGATCTGATTTCAAGTTATCCAGACTATAAAATCCCTGTGAGTATTACCCCCAAGGTCCTAATACAGTCTTGATTTGGTTGAGTTCAGGTTCAGGGCTTGGTGGGATATCACAAATGTGGAGGAGCAGAAGGAAGGAAGCAGCTGAACTAGGCTGGAACAGGGTCCGAAGAAGCTAAACTAGTAACAGCGTCAGGCCAGAAAGGCCACAGCCCTCGATGCCCAAATGGCAGCAAGTTCAGACAGAGTAGAGGTGACTGTCAGTGCATCGGTACCACGATAGAACTATCAGTGTATGGATAATACTATTAGTACCACAGATAGGACCACCAGTACTAGGGATAGTACCATGGGGCTGCCCCATCGGGACTCTAAGGACTTGGGTCTACCACAGCAGGCTGGAGGTAGGTGGCTGTTAAAGCTGGGTGGGTGGTAGTATTCATGTTCTGCATGTTATTCCAGCCATCGAATGGCCCTGGCTTATGATTGAAGAGTATGGAAAAAAGAGTCCCCCTGCCGAAGAGAACTAAGGGGACCATGATCCCCAACCAAGTGCTGATTTATTCACCGTACTCTAATCATGGTACACATTGTCTCTGCAGCTCATGCAGTGACAGTGCTTATGAAGGAATGTGTGAGGGTTCCCTCAGAGAAACTGTTCAAGATGGGAAAACTGAGGACAAAACCTAGAGAGACCGGACCAAGTCAGCAGAATAAAGGAAGGAAGAGAGGTAGAGCTGTGTCTCAGAGCTACCTTAACCACGCACATCTCAAACACACGTGCTGAATGTGCACCCACCGGGCAAGTCCCGGGTCCCCAACAGTAAGGGCTACAGAAAGCAGGGGGTGACCCCCTTTCAGAGTGTGGCAGGTTGCTACAACCCTCTCACAAGCCTCACACACTTAACAGTGTGAAGTCTTCCTATTTGCCTCCCGTTAGTTGTTTATTGGACTACAAAGAGTTTGCTGAGTTTAAGATAAAAACGCTTTCACTTTGATAAGATGCAAGTGATCTAAGAGGCGTTTCTCCTGACCCCTCAGTGATAACCTGCTATGCCCGGAAATCAGACTATGCAGACTTAAATATCTTTGTACCTACATTTATTTGCCCTAAATTGATGATCCTTTTTACACTTTATTACTTCTGTTGGCAATAATTGAAACTGATTTCTAACCAGCTGGCAGACACTAAGCACTTTCAGTAGTGAAGTATGATGACAGCATTTAAGAACATAGTTTCTGGAATCATAAAGTCATGGGACTGAATCTCGGATCCACCACTCACTAGATATCTGACCTTAACTTTCTCATGACCCTGGCTTTCTCATCTGTTAAGTGGGGATAACACCCATTCCTAATTCAAAGCGTTGTGGAAAGGATTAAAGGAGATGGTGCCTCTAAAGCACTGGGCACAGTATCTGACACATGGCAAGTACTACAGAAACGATGGCTGTTAGGATATCTATTCAATACTGAGCACTTACAACTGAGGTTAGTAAAATAAATTTCCATGGGAGACAGCAACATGCGTACCAAACTCAGTTGTTGCTCCCAAATTCCACTTCTGTCTGCAGCAGAATGTTTACTCACAGGAATTAAATCAATAACAGAATGATAGAAGGTAAACCACACCCAAGCGCAAAATTACAGGAATTCAAAACATAGGACTTTTTGTGCTAGAAACTGAGTCTTCAAAGATGGCTGGAGTGTAAGAAAGTTGAGAGGGTGGGGAGAGAAGGTCTATGTGGATTTTGCTGTAGGGGTGGAGAGGAGACCACATCCTGGGTGGAAAGAGAGGCCCGGGGTAAGGCGTGGAAGCCGGGCAGCGTGGAGGAGTGGAACCCCACTGGTTGAAGAGCAGACAGCAGGCTGTGAGGGGCTTGGAGTGATCCCGTTGAATTAGTAAGATCAGGCCAGATTTCAAAGAACCCAGACATCACAGGGGGAAATTTAGTTTCAGTTTGAAAAGCGATGGAGAATGGCTGGGCTTCTGAGCAGGGGCATGATGTGATGTGAATTTCTTCATCCCTAAGTGTTTCTTTGCCTCTTAAGCATATCATATCATTATGTCTCCACATTTAAGAGACCTCTTTTTTAAATTATTCGTGTCTCTTTATTTAAACAGGCCCAAAATATTTGGAAATGTGGTTGGCAATGTTCTAAGTCATTGTACTCATACATCCCACAAGCATTTACATTGCGACTGATATGTCACAGGTCCCTTTTCGGCATCGTATACTCCATACTTGCGTTAGTAAAGACCAGCTTTCTTCCCCACTTAGGATGAGGGGATAAGTCAGTATGACCCTGGAATTAGTGGGAACAGAGCACACCAGAACTAGACAAAGGGTGGAGAGAAGTGGGTGGGTGGGTGTCACAGAAAGGATGGGCAGCAGTCTGCCAGCTGTGGGTGTCTCCCTGCTTTTGCCTTCCTCTGGGCAACCATCATTCTGTGTGAGATGTGTTCCAGAAGCCCATCACTTGAGACTGCATTTCATCCTACACATTCTGTTCCACATTTCAGGGAACAGCCCTCCTATTTTAAGCCAGTAAAATAATCTTCAAATCCTTAGAATTATATATAACAGGGTTTATCTTACATTACCAAGAACAATTAGGACCCTAAAACGATGCCACGCTTATTTCCTCCTATAATGGGAGAACTCCCTACAAAGTCAGGACGATTTGGGGAACATTCTTACTTCTGGAGACTTGAGAATGACTTAATATGATTGACTTGCAGAGAAGATTCTATCGGCACTTTCCTGGAAAAAGAAACCCACCAACAGATGACTGACTGCCTTCGAAGGTAAGTCCCCTGAAGATGTGTTCTGACGCCCAGGGAAAGCTGACGTCCACAGGGCTCTTGTTAGTTTGCATATTTCCTTCATTTTGGAAGGAGTTTTATCAACTTGCACCCCAGCTGAAGCACTCCTGACGTTTTAGAGCAGCACAGGACCGACTCCGCTGTGGCAGGATGTCTGATATTCTGGGCTGCAGCCCACTATATTCCAGGAGCTCCTTGATGCATTGATGACCAAAATGACCTCTGCACATTTTCCAAATCCTCTCTGGTGCAACAGACCCCTCTGGCTGAGAGACCCCCAGCTGGAGGGTATCTGACCTCCCATGAACCAGCATCATAGCTCGGGGATCACCTGATACTCTAACAGTAGAAAAAGAGTTCATCAGTCTGTCTGTCTGTCTGTCCGATGGTTCATTCCTTCATTGCCAAGGTGCTTCTGCTGAGTCAGCTTCTTCAACCCTCCCCATCCTGGTCCTTTGCATCTCCTCCCTGTCGCTCCATCCTGGAATCTCATGAGACGGTGGTGGACCACACGCTATCATCTAATCCCGGAGCTTTCATCTGATTGTGACCCAAGGAGAGCTGAGCCTTGGACCTGAAAAGCCTAACTGTGATGTTCGAAAAGGAAAGAGGTTCCCTTTCCAGTAAGGTGCTCTATTCTCATTTTCACTAAGCAAATAAAGAAAAGAAAGAAAGGAAAAGAAAAAAAAAAAAAATCTCTGAAGACTCAGTTACCAACACTCTCATCCTGTCATCATTTTTTTGCTCCAGATATCCATGTACAAGTAAATAGATCACATTTTTAAAATGAACTTTAACCACAGTGATGTTATTTGAAGATCTTTCAAGATAAGTAGGGCAAAAACTAGAGTGTGGTTTTTCAGGTTAAAATGTTGTTTGCTGCTACAAACAGTGGGAAGTGAAGGTCGTCGCCTAACAGCTCTGTGTTTACAAGGTTCATGTTTGGAAGCAACACGCATTTTAAATACATGTGAAAAAAAAGCGAGTGTGCGTAATTATTTTGATACGTTGTATTTTTTGCTCCTTCTGGTGGGTGGCCTGGCTTTGTGGTTAGGAGAGCAGAGTCAGGGACCCTGCTGACTGGGTTCACACTTACGAACTGTGTGACCTTGGGCAAGTGACCTCGTAGTGCCTTGGTTTCCCCATCTGTAAAATAGGGTTAATTATCACACATACCTCACAGGGTCCTTGTATGGATGAAATGACTTAATCCATATAAAGTGCTTAGCTCCGTGCTTGGTAGATAGAAAGCACTCAATACATAGTAATTATTATTACTATAATTATTACTGCTGGTCTGCTGGTGGTTGCAGTTCATAGGAAATATTTCTGAGCCATGCAAAATTGTACATGGATGAACTAAAAAGCTGGCATTTCAACTCCCGAATTCAGTGTCTGCTCTTTGGAAAGAAAGGAGGTTTTCACTGGTGCAGTGCCATGATGACAGAGGGTCCAAACCAAAGTCCCAGGAAGCCCCATGTGGTCAATTCTTATGCAGAAGATCCAGATTTTGTGTTGGAATTTACAGTTATTTAATCTAAAGTCACTTATTTAACTTTAGTTTCATAGATCTTTTACAGACAGGTTATTTTCAAGGAAACTTCCTAAATTGTTAAGAAAATGCTTTGGTTAAATGTAACAAGATCAATGAGGACACTGTCACTGGGAGGTTAGTGAGTAAAGTCAATTAATTTCCTCTGATAAATAGATTTACAAGTATAAGTGGACATTGGATTTTTCTATACTAATCCAGCCAATGTAGTTTCTTGTGATGCAAACATATGCTGAATAAATGTGGATTTCTTTTAACAAGCCTGTACATCAAGCATACAGCCTTAAAATTAAGGGTTCCATTCACTAGGAGATAGAAATAAATCTTTTCATGTTAAAATCATAATGTCACAGGAGAATTTCTTAGAAACAAATGAGTCGGGACCCAATTATGTGAGGGCAAAATACCTACAAATATAAATGTAACTGGAAGAGACACAATCTTTAAGGTATCTGACTTGAAGATATACTCCAACCATCTCCTTTATGTTTATAACAAAACATGATGGCTGCTTCGGCGCTTTGTGTTTTCAAGGCACCCATGTCAAACATTTCCAGACTCTCTCAGGCTTTTCTCCACTAACTGCTGCTTAAAACTATGGCCCCTGACTTCAGCTATAAGTCTAGCCAATCTGATTTAAATACTAGAGTTTATAATGTTCCCCCTTGCTCTGGAGTGTCAAGTAATCACAGGACTGCTCATTCCTTAATCCCCAAGTTAACAGTCCCTAGTCAGCATTAGCCATTTATAAACAATATACTATGCAAAGAAGACGTGTTAGTAAGAACTGTGGAGGGTAGGACCAGGATGGTCAGGGGTCCCTTAGGTCCCTTAGCTCACCTAAGATTGACCTTTGGCTGTAGGAGATCTGTATTTTCAAAGAACAAGCTCCTTCAAGAAAATGATTCACTATGGTTCCTGGAAGTGACTGGTACAGAGATGTGTGCGTCCCTCAGCAGGGGTCTGTTCAGGCACTGAACTAACTCATGTGTTCATGAGCGAAATGACTACTGTCAAATAGAAACCTCTGGGGCTTCCCTGGTAGCGCAGTGGCTGGGAGTCCGCCTGCCGGTGCAGGGGACTGCATTGGGTCAATCCCTGGCCCCGGAGGATCCCACATGCTGCAGGGCAGCTGGGCCTGTGCTCTGGAGCCCGCGCACCACGGCTGCTGAATCCCACGTGCCTGGAGCCTGTGCTCTGCGGCGGGAGGGGCCACGACAATGAGAAGCCCGCGCCACACAGGGAGGAGTGGCCCCGGCTCGCCACAGCTGGAGAGGGTCCGCTCAAAGCAGCGGGGACCCAGCACAGCCAAAAATAAATAAATAAATTAATTAATTAAAAAAAATAGAAACCTTTGGAACTCAGCTCTGAGGAAAAGAAACATATTCTTAAAGCACTTTCCTAAAAAAATAATAAAAAAACTAGAAACTGCATAAATATAATTCTACATTTTTCACACGTGCTTGTACCCCATCTACATTGTGATAGTGTCTTAAATTTATTTTACAAACACCTGTGATTTGTGTGTGTGTGTGTGTGGTACGCGGGCCTCTCACTGCTGTGGCCTCTCCCGTTGCGGAGCACAGGCTCCGGACGCGCAGGCTCAGCGGCCACGGCTCACGGGCCCAGCCGCTCCGAGGCATGTGGGATCTTCCCGGACCGGGGCACGAGCCCGTGTCCCCTGCATCGGCAGGCGGACTCTCAACCACTGCGCCACCAGGGAAGCCCAAACATCTGTGATTTAAAATGTAACATAGCTGGGTATTTTAAGTGGACAAAAAACAGATCATTCAATCTCTAATGTTAAAAAAAAAAAAAAAAACAGAAATGAGATAGTCCCCCCACCCTCAAAATAATCTGCTGTTCTAAAATTCTACAAATCTCTAGACATGATTAATTTGGCATTAGACTTTTCCTTCAATAGAAGGTGGATACTGTTTGTTATTGATTGATAGGGAAATAATGTTTTGCCTTTCCCATTACTGACAAACTCTGCTTTTACAAATGTTATTTAATCTGATATGACACCTCTGTTATTAGATATTATTAGATGAGGAAATGGAATCTCCAAGATCTTTGCTACCTTTCCAAGGGCACAACTAGTAAGTTGCAAGGCAGGATTCAAGCTAAATAGAGAACAATTTTCTCAAAGGAAAAAATAAAAACAACTTACTGTTTAATCACTGCCACATATTAGGTGATCATTCATTCTAACTCATTTACTAATATTTGTGACTTCTCTTTGAATCTCTTCTCTTAGGATGTTAAAATAATTCTCCAAAGGAGTGAGCATGTACAAGGAAGTGACGAAGAGAGGTCTCCTTCCAGACTCACAGAGGAAAAGAAATGAAGACAAGAGAGGGGCAATGAATCTTCCAGACATCAAGTGTAAACATGGTGTTTGTTGTATACATTATCATCATAAGTGTAGAAATGACCCCTACCAGGCTATGAGGGGCACGGAAAAGGGAGTCTTCCTTAACTTGGAGAATATTCTGTAATAAACTTTAAATTTCCAAGCAAAAATCCGAAGTAAGAAGGAGTGCATTTTGAAGTGATTCCGAAAATAAAAGGCACCAGAACAATATGTTCAAATATAAACATACACATTAAGTCATGAACAGTCCCTGTGAGAAGTATCTACATTAGGCAGATACAGTGAAAATTGCCCCAAAGCTCCATGTCAGAGCAGCATGGCTGCATACAGTTTGTCGTTCTCACTCCATAAAATTCCAAGGTGTATCTCACTAGCCAAGGAGAAGGCTGCATTATCAGCTGCTGGTACAGTCATGATCCTATTATCTATTCATAATTCTTTATTAATAGAATATGTTTCTTGTATAGGTAGAGGTACAATTATAGCACTTGTATAAATTAGTGACTCAAATTCAGGGATACTTACCTGAAGAAAGTGATTTTGTTTTTGTTGTTTTCGTTGCATTTTTGTTGTTGTTGTTTTGTGGTACGCGGGCCTCTCACTGTTGTGGCCTCTCCCGTTGCGGAGCACAGGCTCCGGATGCGCAGGCTCAGCGGCCATGGCTCACGGGCCCAGCCGCTCCGCGGCATGTGGGATCTTCCCGGACCGGGGCACGAACCCGTGTCCCCTGCATCGGCAGGCGGACTCTCAACCACTGCGCCACCAGGGAAGCCCTCGTTGCATTTTTAAGTGAGCACTGATGTATTTTCAGTGTCTGGGCCTCTGTGAAACCCCCTCTGGGTCTCCTCACTGGCTGCTCCTTCTGTGGATCTTTGCTGGACCCTCCTCTTCTACTCAGCCTCTAAGATTTGGAGGGCCCCAGCACTCAGCCTTCTCTGTCCGCAGTCAATTCCTGGAGGAGTCATCCATTTCCATGACTTTATGGGGCCAAAGCTCAAGTTTCTATTCAAGTTTCTATTCAAGTTTCTATTCAAGTTTCTATTCCCGTCTTCCCCCAAAATCCAAACTTCTCTCTTACTGTCCGCTTGATTACCACAGGAATGGCTTATCATCAACACAAACTCAACATACCCAAGCCAGAGAGAGGGAGCCTTCACATCACCCCGCTGCTCCAACCCTCTATTGGAGTCCCATCTCATGTAGAGTCTGGTCCAAGTCCTTACCTTGATTTTACCCCTTGCTGCCTGTCTGATCTCATTTCCCAATATTTTCCCCCAGCCCGCTCTGCTTAAGCAACAGTTGTACCTTGTTGACCCTGGAACACAACAGACACATGCCTGCCTCAGGGCCTTTGCACTTGCTTTTCTCTCTGCCTGGTCCCAAATATCTGCATGGCTTGTCCCCTGACTTCCTTCAGGCCTCTGTTCAAATGACACTTTGTCAGCAAGGCCTTCCTTCAACATATAATACAACACAGAAATAACCCACCATCCCCATACCTCTCATGCCCACTTTAATTTTTTTTTCCATTGCACTTATCAACATCTGACAAATGCATGTTTACTCTTTTGTTTGTCTGTCACTCCACTAGGTTGTAAGTTCCATGAAGTAAGGGATTTTGTGTATTTTCTTTATTGCTATACTCCTGAACCTAAGACTAAAAAATCATGGCCAGCTTTAAGTTGCATCATAATACATTTGTGCAAAACGTGTAGAGGTATCACATTTTGATTGATCACTGAAAAAATGAGCCCTCCAAAGACAATTTCAATTGTCAGTGAGAATGATATTCTCTTTCTTTCTTTTTTTTTTGCGGTACGTGGGCCTCTCACTGTTGTGGCCTCTCCCGTTGCGGACGCGCAGGCTCAGCGGCCATGGCTCACAGGCCCAGCCGCTCCGCGGCACGTGGGATCTTCCCGGACCGGGGCACGAACCCATGTCCCCTGCATCGGCAGGCGGACTCTCAACCACTGCGCCACCAGGGAAGCCCTACATTCTATTTCTTGAGAGTGACACATTGCCTAAATCTGCTTCTTGTGGGTTCCATTCCCAGAGCCCTTGTCCTCAAGGTGATGGAAGATGGTGATGCAGAAGCTTAGGAGGTGGAGAAGAAACCCAGCCAGAGATTTCACAGTTTCAAATAGCTGATTCACTCGTAGTTCTAGTTATTCTAGAGAAGGGAGCTGAGGAACATCTGAAAATAGGATTCAAATAAATAAGACACCATGATAAGGACACAGGCAGCCAACCAACCCACATTTTATTAAGGACTGAAGACGACAAGGCAACATTACATTGCACTAGAAAAAAATTAAAAGCGGAGACAATGGCTCTGTAATGACGCCTTATATTTCCTTGTAATTTCTTGCTGTAATAATGTTCTTGCACAGTGTAGTTAATGAAGGAAATTGCAGAATTTCCCTCCTGAGGCCCATTATCTCATCTGAACTGTAAGAGAGCAACCAACACAAAGGTCTCCCTGGTGCGTATTTGCCACCATGTCAGTCTCCAGTCATCAGCAGGATGGAGCAGACCTGGTGGTGGAACATGACCTAGAGATGTAAATGGAGCTCTCGCACTGCAGGTTCTGGAGCAGGCAAGGGTGGAACTTCACACTGAAAGCAGAGACTGCATGGGATTCTGCCAGAAGAAGAAAGAATGTACTGTAAGCTCCTCTCCCCAAGAGCCTTCCAAGTCTTATAATTCTAGTGAACACCCAACCATCTTCAGATCGTTCTGAGGCTGCTTTTGCCCTGCACATTACCATGTCCTCCGGCTATTGCTTTTGTGAGATGGATCTGAAGTCTCTGATCTCGGACTCTGGATACACCATCAAGATACCTCTCTTAATGCAGCCCGGGATGTCAAAGCCATTGTGTATGGGCATACACACACACACACACACACACACACACACACACACACACACACACATGAACCCACACCTGCAGATTTTGAGGAGTTTGAGGTAAGCAAAACAAACTGATGACTTATATTAAACTTACAAATAACTAAAGCTTCTAAGCCTTTGTTTCATGTGCTTTAGTTCAACCACATTTCCACCTGTCTTAACAGAGGCCACTTTTTTAAAATATTAAAGTACAGGTATTTACATATAACCCTATTAAATTCATCTTTCAAATATGTTTTTGTATTCTATTGTCATGGTGTTAAAAGAAAATTTATAACCCAATTCTACCATCTAGTACATGTGTATTGTCTACTTACATGGTGGCATAGCTGTCCTGGTCTCAAGAGCCCTGGGACAGGAAGGCTCTCACTCCCTCCTGGGAAACTCCTGGAGTCTCAAACTGTCTGCCCTCTCCTGTGGCAGCATCTATGCTCCCCTGCAAGTCCTCATCTAGTTTAAAACAAAAGAGTTAATCTGATTTTAAATCTCCCAGAGGAGGCTATCCCTTTCAGGACTCTGTACATTCAACCCAAATACCAATCTCGAAAAGCCAGCCTTCAAGAGGCCATCATGTCACATGATTAACAGCTGAGCCAACCTTTCTACCAGGCAATGGTCTGATGTACATCATTGCACTTTTGGTGTATGTTAGATTACAAGATTGGGGGATCACCCAGAACTCATTTTAAACCTGTCAAAAAATAATATCGTATTTCCTATGAAAAGAAAGGGAAGCTGATGCTATTTTCTTCTAAAATAAATATATCACCAGTGATGTCTCAATGAAGGGATTACCTGGGTAAAGATGGTCAAGGAAACAAAACGTCCGTTAACGCAACAGGCAAAGGGTTAGGGTTGCGGCACGCCTAAGATGAATGCGAGAGCAGTGAACCTGGGGAATTTCACTACTTTACCATGAATTTTTCTTCTCTTTCTTCCCCTGAATAGGTCTCCTCCTCCTTCTTGCCTGGCTGTCAATGTCCACTTATTTCAAAGATCCATTTCTTCCTCTTTAACAAAGACTGATATTTTAGACTAATTCATGAGAAAAACCCGAAAGGGGGCCACTGTTGCTTCTAAATCATAGGTCAAGGAGGTGTCAGCATGGACTGCTTGAAATAGCTACTTCCAGAGTCATTTGCTGCCAACACACCATTGGCCTCAGTGGACGTTCACGTCATCCATGCCCACCTTCTCTCCACCCTCATCCAACCCACACACCAAATTGTCACCCTCTTCAACATCTCCCACTATTTGCACCATCTCTTCTCTTTTTGGCACTAAATATGACTATGTTCTCCAGCTCTCGCTTCTATGAGATGAATCTGAATCTTATCCTGGTTGCTCTCCTCTGGACAGCAATGTGACATTTTACAGGGTTATTCATGATATCTTCACACTATCCTTGGGAACAAGGTAAACAAATATGGACTGAATGACAAGTGAATTTGTAACCAATAGAGTGAGGTTCTCAAACACAGAAGATTCGTGACATGAATTATTTATTTTCCCCCTCCCTTAATGGGCTGTTAGCTACAGGAAATACTGACTATGTCTCTGTTACTTCTGTGATTTACAAAACTTCAACAAAGAAATTCAAAGAGAGAGATAGAATTCATGTGAATTATAATTGTGGTTGGTACAATGTTGGAAGAACTTTGAAGTAAATTATGCTTAATAAGAAATAGAGGACTCAGGGCTTCCCTGGTGGCGCAGTGGTTGAGAGTCCGCCTGCCGATGCAGGGCACACGGGTTCATGCCCCGGTCCGGGAAGATCCCACATGCCACAGAGCGGCTGGGCTCGTGAGCCATGGCCGCTGAGCCTGCGCGTCCAGAGCCTGTGCTCTGCAACGGGAGAGGCCACAACAGTGAGAGGCCGGCGTACCGCAAAGAAAAAAAGAAAAAGAAAAAGAAAAAGAGGACTCAATAACAAGGTTAGGATATTAACAATAGGTAACAATAGGTAATAATAGCTAATATTATTGAAGGTCTACTATGAGTCAGGCACTGTGCTGAGTGCTTTACAGACATTATCTCATTTAGTCTCATAACTCTGTGAAGTAAGTACTCTTAAGATGGCCATTTACACGTAATGAAAATGACAAGTAGAGAGATTAGGTAACTTGCCCAAAGTCACACAGCTGGTAAATTATATACATAGACTAGGAACCCAGTATGAACACCCAAAGCCATCCTCTTACCTAGTTTGTGCAACTTGAAGTACAAATAACCAATTGC